CTAGTGATTTACCAAATCCCATGGTTAGGTTATAGGTTAAATAAGTTTAACATGTATGATAATTGCATTTAATATGATAATTATATTTGATGACCATTCAATTATAACGCTCGTAGATACGAGCTAGTCAATTTAGAGACGATAAGCATCAAAAATGACTTTTTTATGTAAGATTATTTAGAAGGAGTAACCTTAACTAATATGTAGTATATGTTACAAGGATTCCATGCATATAAAGAACGCTGAAATCCGAGTTATAACGAAGAAGTTATGATCCGTCGAAGTTTCGCGACAGAGCCGACACGACACTGAATGACGTAAAAAGTGAATTTACGTTAGAGAAATATTTATCCTTAGCGATGTAAACAGAAGTCGTAGAATACGTTAAACCGAAAGCGTGCATAAAAAGAACGCCCAAATCTGACTTCGTATGAGGAAGTTATGATTTTTCCAAAGTTTCGACTTAGCAGTATGCAGCCTGAATCCTTGATTTGAGATCGAGTGATTTTTAGCCGAAACAATCTAAATGAGAATCGAAGGATCTCATCAATAGTAGTGAAACGACAAACATATAGGCGGAAACGGACATCAGATGAAGAAGTTATGAATTTATAACAGAGTTTTCCTGTCACGGCCTACTAAAAATAATATAAAAGTAATATATTTTAATATATTAAAAATAAAGTCAAAATTAACCAATGGAGTCTAAACTAGAGTTGTAGATCATAATCTCACCTACGCGTCGATATAAAGAACATTGAAAACGGAGTTCGTATGCGAAAGTTATGAATTTCTAAAGTTCAGGGCGCGAAACCCCAAAACTGTCAGATACCACGACGTGGCAACCAGTGCTATGACGTGACAAGTCTTCTGAAACCTCTTGGAATCCCCCAAATGCAACTTGCGATAACACATGCAGTGACGACCAAGCCCATGGCGTGGAAAAAGGTGCCACAACGTGGCAAGGGCAAATTTTGCCCTATAAATAGATTGTAAGGGCCAGCCGTTTAGGGTTGCTATTTTCTCTCCTCTCTCTCCCATTTTACCTCGATTTACTTGCTATGTGTATAATATAAAGTTGTTTATATGTGTGGGTGTATAGTCCCTTTCATAAACACATATATAATACAAGTATTGTTTGAATGTATTAAGTATATGTTTGGGTGAGTGTGTAGTTACTTTCTTCTAACGCATAAATATTAAGTATTTGCTATGAAATACGTGCTATGTGTATAATATAAAGTTGTTTATATGTATGTGTATAGTCTCTTTCATAAACACGGGTATAATACAAGTATTGTTTGAATGTATTAAGTATATGTTTGGGTGAGTGTGTAGTTACTTTCTTCTAACACATAAATATTAAGTATTTGCTATGAAATAAGTGCTATGTGTTTATGTATATTGTTGTTTATTTGGAGTGAGTGTGTAGTTACTTTCTTCTAACACATAAATATTAAGTATTTGCTATGAAATAAGTGTTATGTGTTTATACATATTGTTGTTTATTTGGAGTGAGTGTATAGTTACTTTCTTCTAACACATAAATATGAAGTATTTGCTTGAAATACATGTTATGTGTTTATGTACTGTTGTTTATTTGAGATAAGTGTGGAATGGATGTTTTATATGGTTTTTACATGAGTTAAACCGTATATGTACTTTATATCTACTAATATGTTGGGTAGATGAGATAGTTGGTATGTGATAAAATGATGAGGTATGTAAGATGATTAAAGAATAATATTGGTAGATGCACCAATTAGAGAATATCATAATACTAGCAGATGCGCTTAAGAATAATATTGGTAGATGCACCAAATGGAGAATATCATAATACTAGCAGATGTGCTTATGGGATAATCTTGGAAGATGCACTTATAGGAAAGTGTCGGCAGATGCGCCTAAAAGAGAATGCCATAAACCTAGCAGTCGCGCCTCATAGTGTATGACGTAATCCTAGCAGAGGTGCTTATAGGATGATGTTGGTAGATGCGCCTTATGTAGCAATAGATTTTGTGCTAATTCCTTAGGTCAATCCTTAGGAATGAATGAATGACGGGTAGTTGAATTCTTAGGGTAAAATCCTAAGAAATAAAGAAGATAATGGGGATGGGTAATTGGGTTGATTGTTTGATGGTTGAATATAATAATTATATTATTGTGGGTTGAAAACTCTATATGCTCACTAGGCTCCCAAGCCTGACCCACTCAGTTTTCTTTGTATCCCAAGTATCGATGCGAAGATATATTTTACCGAGAGATTAAAAGAGATGTAAATCATTAGTGTAAATAAATGTAAGTTCTGTTTATGCTTATGTGTCTGTATCGGAACATGACATCCCGGGATTTTGTTATATAATGAGAATACATTTCTTTAAAGGAATGCTTTGATAAATTCGTATCATATTTTGTTTTGGGAACAAATTCCGCAACAGTTTTCTTTAAAAGATTACTCTGATTTTAAAAACAAAGCATAAACAAATCGGTCTTACATCCCGAGATTTTGTTATATAATGAAAATACATTTCTTTAAAGGAATGCTTTGATAAATTCGTATCATATTTTGTTTTGGGAACAAATTCCGCAACTGTTTTCTTTAAAAGATTAATCTGATTTTAAAAACAAAGCATAAACAAATCGGTCTTTTCTGGCCGTGAAATTGAGGATGTCACAATGCAATCGTTTGATCTCTTATGGCCACTAAGACAAATACATCAAATATTGCATGATACAAACTAAAATACCGATAATAAGGATAGTTAGTATACATGACCATTGTGATTATAGTCATTAGAGTCATATGATTAGTAATCGGACCATGAGAACTAATCAAGTTAGGAATCAATAGAGGACGAATTAATATCAATTGCATTTCTTAAAAAATCAATCATAACCGAAGGGGTGTAATCAAATCTAAGTGAAATCACCGTTAATACTTGTTTCTAAATCAGTTTTTCAAGTTTGATTTGTTAGATTGTTTTTATTCTTTCCCTTAATTGTTTATTGTTTTAGAATTAAAATAAAACATCCATTAATTTATATATATATTTTTAGGTTAATTGAAAATTAAGTTTTTTTAACTCAATTTTGCCCCTTGAGTTAAACATTCGTTTTACCGAAGCTATACTGTCATATGATTAGACACACTTATCTAGTTGTGTAATAGTGTTTATCAATAGTGAAATCATTTGTAAGTTCAAGACTATGTTTCACTCATGAGTAGGGCTGTAAACGAACCAAACGAACACGAACAAGGTCTTGTTCATATTCGTTCGTTTAAGTTAGCCGAACAACAAACGAACACGAATGGATAAACGAACGAGATTTTCTTGTTCATGTTCGTTCGTTTAACAAATTACTTTGTTCATGTTCATTCATTTATGTTCGTGAACATGCTAAACGAACATAAACGAACAAAGATAAAAAAAAACACTATTGAACATATATGAACATAAACGAACATATAATATAACAATATAATAAAAAATAATTGAATATAGATGAATATAAATAAACTTAAACCAACGAACATAAACGAACGTAAATGAACATCATACACGAACGTTCACGAACATAAATGAACGAACGAGACCATTGTTCATGTTCGTTCATTTAACTAAACGAACGATATTTTTTGTTCATGTTCGTTCATTTATTAAATAAACGAACATAAACGAACTTCCCGGCGAACAGTTCACGAACGGTTCGCCGAACGTTCACGAACGGTTTGCCGAACGTTCAGTTCGTTTACAGCCCTACTCATGAGAATCAATTACTTAGAAAAAGTTGAGTTTTTTGTTTTTTATATAATGAGAAGACTACGTTTCTAAAAAATTATAATAAAAATGAAAAAAATATCATTAACGATAAAAAAAAGTTTTTTTTGACTTTTACTATAATATACAATGATTTTTTTTTTTTTTTACAATTACTAATAAAAACATTTCTAATAAAAACAATACCATTTTTTTTAATTTAAAGGAATGACTTTTATTCAACTTTTTCTCTTTGTCACTTTCGTGGTAATTAAGATCACTTTGTGCTTTGTTATAGTTTCTTGCTTTTGCAAACCGTTGAGGCACTTCCTTCATATTGGATAAATCATGTAGGTTAAGGGGTCGTAGGATTAAAGCTGGTTGGGTTAGAAGTTCTGATTTAAACTTGTTGGTTGATTTTGCATATAATTGATTGTGAAAAAAACTATATTACCCTCCAATAATTTTTTTTTTATAATAATTCCTTTAAACCGAACTTGTAAATTGTGCTTTTGGGTAAAATACAACAAAATATATAACATATCAATAAAATAAAAATAATAACGTAATCTGATAGATCTAGATTGATTGTGGATTAGATCATTAATACGAAACATTAATAGGTAAACATATTATTTTAACTTAAAAAATATCAGTTCAACACAACTTTCAATATGATTGATGTAACACCTCATTTTAGTATATCTTGAGATTATAATATTAAACAATAATTATGAAATATGAAGAAGTAATATATATTACTGTTTAGCCAATATAATCATCATAAACATATAGATGACACCAATACGATTTTCGTAGATATATAGAACGTTTGAATCTAATTTTTGTATGAAAAAGTTATGATTTTTCGAAGTTTTGTGTTTAACCATATACGACAAAGTGCATCGTAAAATACGAATAAGAGATAGATTGCTTATTGGCGTAGTAATCTAAAAGAAAATCATAGTAATCGTAAAAACGAGAACGTGCATATAGAGAACGTCCAAATCTGACTTTATATGAGAAAATTATGATTTTTCAAGGTTTCGGTACAACAGTGCATGACATTGAAATCAGAATGGAAATCGGTGGATTGTTAGCTGAACCAATCTAAATGAGAGTTGAAGATCTCGTAGATACAATTCCATCAATATAAATACAGACCGAGAACAGAATTTGTATGAAGGATGACCATACCATTGGACTGGAGGATGGCGGTGATGACGACAAGACTAGAGGAGGATGCCGTCGGCGGAGGAGACCGGAGGTGGTAGGTGTCAGTGATGAAGAAGGATATGTCGTCGCGTTTTTTTTTTGGAGGACCGATTTGGCCGTTCGTTAAGGGCAAGAAGAAGAGAAAGCATGTTTTTGGAATGATAGACTGGTTGTGTGGAAGGAAAAGCTTCATGGATAGATTGAAGGAGATGTAGTACCTGCATTAAGGGTAAGGGCAAAAGGTGTCCATTTTCTAGTTAGCTTCTTTTTTAGCGGACCGAATCCAAGCATCATGGACTGACTGTAGCCAGAATAAGTTGCAAAATAGATTGTATCAAATACACTGATCGGACCGGGTCAGTCAAAATGTATGACCGGATCGGGTCAGCAAGAAATCAAATGATCAAACAGTCCCTAAGGCAACAATCAAATTTTATTAAAGTCTAAATGCATGCTCAAGTTTTAAGTTAAATAATAGTTTTTCATCGGTTCACAATAAACACAGTAATATTCAACTATTTATACCGGTAATTGTATTGAGTAATAGTAGTTTTGCCTTTGATTGCATAAGATTATTTTGATTTTCTTTTATATCTTGATTAATGATAAAAATACTATTATCAAATCATCTTTAGATCAAAAGATGTATTCATTTTTCATTACAATCTAATAAACTATTTTTACAAATTTGGGAAACAGATATATGAGTTCTTAGAATTTACTAGAATTTTTTTTTAATGTATTTTTATATTTAAAAATAAATAAAAATTCAAGTATTTAAAAACAAAAAGGGTCTTGTAATAGCTAAACTTAAGAAGTAGTAACCAAGTGGGTGAATGGGCTGCACCACACACCTCACCCAACCCGAACCATAGCGCCTATAGGTCCGTCATCCGTGGTCCAGTTTACACACACAACACCTAAAACACACAGTGGAAATTCATTGGATCTCAAAGTCCATATCCAATACAGTTTTATGTTTTTCCCTAAATTCGATATCATTATTATTATCTCAAATTCTCAACAAACCCCAGTTCAAAAGTCCAGTTGAATTTCTCGGGTTCAAGCCCAATCTTCTCTCTCCTCTCTCGCATCGAAGAATCGCTTTCTGGATCTCGAATTCTCCGATCGGCCTCCGATTTCTTCGATTTAGATCGCGTAATTGTCTTCTGTAGCTGTTCTTGAGGTATATGTTTGATTCCAGCACTGATCATTGTTTGTTTTTTTAGTTTTTGAGTTTGTTCTGCTTTCGTCCGTCTGTTTTACCTTGTTTTTTTTCTCATCTCATTTGCGATGATTCTTTGTTTTGCTTGTTAGTTTAAAGAGTTTGTTCATGTTTCTTACTGTAACTTTTGAACTTGTTTGAAATCGAATCGGAAGATGTTTAACTGTTGTTTTTGCCTTGTTTGTTCGCTGCTCAACTAATCGATACTGTTCAATGTTCGTCTGCATTTTTTAAAGCTGTCTTCTCTTCTCTGGGCTTAAATTGTTTGTACCTTCTTTGAAAAAGCCCAAATTTGATCGAAAAACCCTAGATCTGGTTTTTGGTGTTGAGCTCCTTCAGCCCATGGATATCCAAATTGCTTTATTTTTGACTTTTTAGCTTTATACGAACGAAGTATGTTGCTTCATTTTCATTTGATTTATTATCTGTATCGGTAGCGACATTGGACTCGAAAAATCGGCCCAACTGAGAAAATTCTAAAAATGTATCTCGATATTTTTTTAAAAGTCTGTCGATAATCGAATGTTCAAAATTTCCATACTTTCTTCTGATTTGATTATGTGTAAATCAGGTCTTTTTCTTCCTCACTCACATGGAGTTAACTCCTACTTCAAACAATGCCATCGTCAACATGGAGATGCACCTGGAACCAGTCTACCTCGGCGAGCCAACAAACAACACAGAACAACCAATCAAACGCCGAAAGAAGAAATCCATGGTGTGGGAACACTTCACAATCGAAACCGTCGGATTAGGATGCAGAAGAGCTTGCTGTAAACAATGTAAACAATCATTCGCTTACAGCACAGGTTCCAAAGTCGCCGGCACCAGTCACCTCAAACGTCACATCGCTAAAGGAAGTTGCCCAGTTGTTCTTCGTAATCAGCTACAACAAGACTCATCTTCTCCATTCACTCCAATTCAAAAGGTAACCCCCGATTCCGCCATTCCAACCACGAATACACCTAAACGCCGTTACAGAACCACCACCAATTTCCCTTTCGTTGGATACGACGCTAACACCTGTCGCCAGGAGATCGCCCGGATGATTATTTTACACGATTACCCTCTTCACATCGTTGAACACCCTGGATTCATGGCTTTCATTCGTAACCTTCAACCTCGTTTTGAAATGGTGAATTTTAACACTGTTCAAGGTGACTGTATCGCAACATATCTTAGAGAGAAGCAACGGATTCATAATCTGATTGAAGGGATGCCTGGTCGGATTTGTCTCACACTTGATCTCTGGAATTCTTGCCAAACAACAGGTTATGTTTTTGTAACGGGTCAATTCGTTGATAGTGATTGGAAAATCCACAGAAAGCTACTAAACGTTGTAATGGAACCATACCCGGAATCTGATTCCGCTTTCAGCCATGCTGTGTCTTCTTGTCTATCGGATTGGAATATGGAAGGACGATTGTTTTCACTGACAATAAACCAGAGTTTGAGTGAAGTCGGAATCGAGAGTCTCAAAAGTTTGCTTTCAGAGAATGTCAACATCCTCGGTGGTCAATTGTTGCTTAATCACTGTCTTGCTCGTTCTTTAACCGGAATTGCAATGGAAGCGCTCAATTCCGGTCATGAAGCTGTGAAAAAGGTGAGAAACTGTGTGAAGTATGTGAAAACCAACGAGACTCTCGAAGAGAAATTTCTCGAACTCAAACAACAACTACAAGTCTCGAGCACGAAAACTTTACAACTCGATGATCAAAATCGATGGAATACAACTTACGAGATGTTACAAACGGCATCGGAATTGAAAGAGGTGTTCTTCTTTTTAGACACCTCCGATGCCGATTACAGCAAAGCCCCAGCCCCGAATGAATGGAATCACGTCGAGAATCTTTGCACGTATTTAAAACTTCTTTTCGATACCGCAAATCTGCTGACATCATCAACAATTCCGACGACAAATACGTTCTTCCACGAAGCATGGAAGATCCAGCTGGAATTGGCACGTGGGGCGACCAGCGAAGACGTGTCCATCAGCGGAATCGCGATTCCGATGCGGGAGAGTTTCGATAAGTATTGGAAAAGTTGTTGTTTGATTCTAGCGATTGCGGTGGTGATGGACCCGCGGTTTAAAATGAAGCTTGTTGAGTTTAGTTTCACGAAGATTTATGGGGAGGAAGCGGTGACTTATATAAATTTAGTGGATGAAGGGATACACCAGTTGTTTCTCGAGTATGTTGCGCTTCCGGTGGCGGCAGGTGGTGGTGGTGTGGCGGCGGGGGGTGATGGTGGTTTGGATGTTGAGGGAGTTGGTATGACGGATTTTGATATGTATATAATGGAGACGGCCAGTCAACAATCGAAGTCGGAATTGGATCAGTATTTGGAGGAATCGCTGTTGCCGAGGGTGCATGAGTTTGATGTTGTCGGGTGGTGGAAATTGAATAAGGTGAAGTATCCGACGCTTTCGAAGATGGCGAGGGATATTTTGACGATTCCGGTGTCGACGGTGATTCCGGAGTCGGTTTTTGAAGTGGGGAGAAATGAGATGGATCAGTATCGGTGTTCATTGAGGGCGGAAACGGTAGAGGCGATTGTTTGTGCTAAGGATTGGCTTCGGAATGGGGGTGAGGGTGATTCCGGGGAATTGATGAAGCCTTTGGTGAAGATGGAATTCCCGATTTGATTTGTGTGTGGTTTTGCATTTTAGTTGTAGGTTTGGTTGTACACTTTGAAGTTATTTGTTAGGGTAATGGGATGGATGCGTATTTTGGAGTTTAATTTTCCTTGAGCCTACTATTTTGTTTATTTTTGGGGTGTTTTTTTTTTAACTTTTTGCCATCAAAAGTCCTTTTTGCAAAAGGATTTTTTGTAACTTTTCACAAAAGATGGTTTTAAAAATGTGTTTGGATTAACTTTTGAGAAAAATCAAAAGTTGTTTTTAAAAGATGTTTGGTTTAATTTTTGCATGTAAAATGACTAAAAAGGATATGTTTATATATTTACAATTATTTAGTAATTTAAATATACTATTTTCAACTTAACATTTTTTTTAAATACATATTATAATTTTGTAAACATTTTATTAGAAAATATAAAATATAGATTTCTTTTAAATATTCCTAAATTTTTTATTATAACATTAAAAAATGTTTATACAAATTATAAATAATTCATAAAAATATCATAAATAATATTACATTCGTCTTTGCAATGTGTTTATATCTTGTGCAATAATATCTCGTATCGCTGCCATATATAAATTATCACCACTCGTGCGACGTGTACTTGGACCTTTTTCGTAAACTTCACTACTAGTATCACTTCGTATGGGATTGTAGGATTCTTGTTGTGCCATATTAAATGTTTCATCAAACCTACCAAACTTTCTAATATAGTTATGGATCGCCATCGATGCTATCACAATTTTAATTTGGTTCTTATACTTGTAATTAACATGCATGTCTCTTAATAACGCCCACCTAGCTTTCCACACTCCAAAAGTTCGTTTAATGATATTCCGCAATGATGAGTGGAGATAGTTAAATTTCTCTTTCGGTCCACGAGGTTCACGAACAGCAGCCGAGTGTCCACGTCGAAAATCCGGTAAATGATAACGAATATTTGTGCCTTTGTATGGAGCAAGATACCCTCTAGTATTTGGATATCCAGCATCAACAACGTAATATTTATCTGTAATTAAAACAAACAAATTATTTTTTCCTTTAAAAAAAGTAGTAAAAATATAAAACTTGTGTTCCAAAAAAATTATACTAACCACCAGTTGGATATGAAAAATTAAGATCTGGTCTCTGTAGGGCTTCACTGAAAATTCTTGTGTTATGTGCAGTCCTCTCCCAACCGACCCATACAAATGTAAAACACATGTTAAAATCACAAACAACCATTATATTTTGTGTTGCATATCCCTTTCGACCAATGTACTTCGCTTCCTCGTTTTGTGGAACTGATGCCCTAACGTGTGTCCCATCTATAGCACCAATACAATCCTTCAAATACAAAAATGTATCATAAATAAACGATTTGTTAAAGTTTGACTACTAAGAAAATGAACATTAGATGATACCTTGAACATTGGGTAATACCGAGGGTTATTTAATATATATTCAGGAACATCATCATTATAGTTTGCGTCTGGCTTGATGATGTCGGCACTCAGTTTTAGCACGGCTTTCAAAACTGTATGGAAATGCCTATGAATTGTTTCCCCCGAATGGTTAAAAAACTCTTGCACAAATATATTGCTACACCCATGAGCCAATGTCATCAAGAATATTCCTACAGATTCCTCAATAGATATATTTCATGTTTGTTGTAGCCCGTAATTTGTAGCAAGATATGCGCATAACTGTCTAAAAACCGGTACGTGCAATCTAAACATCTCATAACATCGTCTAGGATGTCCATTTAGTACTTCATTAATATACATGTTCCCTATGCGATCTGAAGTGTGACATGGCATACGTACGTTACGAGCTAGTATTATCCCTTTTAAAGCTAATCCACATAACATTTTAAATTGTCTATCCTCTTCCACCCACCATTCTTCATTATCATTAGAAGAATTAGAGTCATCACTATCCATCCTACATAATACAAATAAAAATATGTCAAACAATAACACATAAAATAAAGACAAACAATAACACATAATATAAAATGTCAAATACATAATGTCAAAGGACAACACATAATGTTAAAACATTGTAAACACATAACACATATTCCTAAAACATAATGTCAAAGCATAACACATATTGCTAAATCATTATTTCATAAGTAATTTAAGGAACCTCATCTTGGCTTCGTCAGTTGTTGGAAACATAAAAGCTTCACGGTTTTGCTTTTTGGTGAACACAAACAATGCTTGTGAAAATTCGTTGGAGCCTTCACGAAAATCGGGAAACTTGGTAACAATGGCCATGCAATCTGCTATTGTTGGCGAAGGATTATTTTGTGGATAAGTTTGTGTGCTTTTTGTTGATATGACATCCAATAAAGCATCTACTTTTTCTTCAAAAACTGAACTTTTACTCTTGGTTGAACGGTTGTTGGAAACAAGCTTAGACCTTTTCTTCTTACTTGAACTACTTTCATGGAAACTAGGAAAAAGCGGCTCAACATCATCATCTAAATTGATATCATCACTATCTCCTTTGCCTTCCACATTTTCTCCGTTCGGATTGCTATTGTTTTAAAACTGTAATGGAGTCATAGTCTGATCTCCAACGGCAACGGAATCCCGAAACAAAAAAGCATATTTCTCATCAAATAGGCTCAAATCTGCGTTCCTAAATTTTGCATAATCTTTATTCTCCTACAAGACAAAAAGATAATGTAAATCAAATATGCTCAATCTATATGCAATATATATGCAATCATCACTTAAAATAATTACAAAGAATAGTAAATACCTTTATTTTCTCCTCCCACCACTCGGGCGATGCATCTATCTGGCTTCTCGTCCCACCGAGTCCGGTTTCAAGCCTCATTAATCGATCATAAAGCTTCCACTCTTTTTTCATATTCTCCCATTTGTTTGTTAGTTGTTTTTTTTCAAGAATATAACCTATTTTGTCCTTCATGTGTTTTTGTATATTCTCCCACCCAACTTTAGTTAAGTGACTACCGGTTTTATTGCTTTTTTTTTTTTACTTCAGTTACACATGAATCAACAAACACCATGAAGCTACGATTATCCCATCCGAATTTTGGTTTTTTCATTTTTAAAGGTGTTTCACAGTCAACAACAGTGGTGAGGTTTTCGTCCATCTGTGAATTTCATATCAACATTTTAACACCAAACCAATTTGAATAACCTTCCTAAATGGTTTTATCAATTTAAACAATTGCTAATCAATCTTTTATATGATTCATGAGCTATAGTTTAATTAAAATAGAAAAATTAGAACAACAATAGAAGAAAATAACACAAACCAGAATAAAGAAATTGGAATAATTTTCACAAATGATTACCTGTTAGCAACACAAATTGGTCCCTAGGAACAAAAAATTTCATCACTTTAATCAATATCATCCATATTTCATGAATTTCACTAATAATTATCCAATAAATTATCAATTTCCCAATTGTATTAAACTGTTAACAACACAAACTGTTAACAGCTACAGGGACCCATCCATGCAAGGAACAAGGAACAAATTGAAGGAAGAAATCACATATAATTCTAGGAAAATCGAAATCTAAGGAGCAAATCCACTTACAGTACAAGAAAAACGAAGCTTCACAGTTTTTTGCTATTAAAATCGAAAATCAAGACAAAAAACAAAAAACAAAATCGGAGTAATACCTGGTCGGAGAGGGAGAAAGGAGATCGCTGGATTTTGTGTGAATCGCCGGATGATCGTCGATGCCTTGGAGATTGCCGGCAACTTGTTGAAGTTGGTGATGAACGACAGCGAGAGAGGGATGAACGAGAGAGGAACGGTAGGCGGACAGAACGAGAAGAAAAAGAAAAGAATGAGAAGAGGATTTTAGGGTAGCAGGGGTATATCAGTCATTTAATTGAGAAAGCTTCAAAAGTTTCAAAAAGTCATAGATACATGACTTTTCCAAATGCCTTAAATCTTTCTTTATGAAAAGTAACTTTTAAAAGATCTTTTACATTTGCCAAACATCTTTTACCCCATTTTAACTTTTTGGAAAAGATAAAGTGTAAAAGTTGGTTCAAAAAGATAAAGCAAACACCCTCTTGGTTTTTTTATTCCGGACCACTTCAGTTCCTTCTATTGCTTAACAAAAAATTTGACAAAAAAATAAGGAAATTGATGGAATCTAGTCGGATTTGAACATAATACTTATGCCATTTAGGGCTTATTTGGTAAAATGGAACAATAGAGTTTTGAATAATACGAATGCTTTTTAAACTCATTAATGAACTCAACAAATGCATTAGTTCTTCCTATTTTTCTAAGGATCTTCCCATTTTTCTTCTTAGGTGATTTTAAGTGGGAAGTTTTTGTATGCTTCTAGGTAATGAATTTTTTGAAGTGTTCACATACGACCATTATGATCGGCTGTAGCAGGTCATAACCGGTCATAATTGTCATATGTGAATACTTCCAAAAAGTTCGTTACCTAGACGCGGACAAAAAAAAAGATAGTTACCTAAATGTGAACACACCGAAAAGGTAAGAGTAAATTACATGAATGGCCCCTGTAGTTGGGGTAATTTGTGCGTTGGTCCCTAACTTATTTTTTAACTTGATCTTTATTGTTTATTTTTATCACGCGTTTGGTCCCCTTCTTACTTCAAAAGATTATTATCTCATTTTTAATTTATTTTCTTATTTATGTATTTAATTTTTATATATTTAAAAAAATTAATAGACCTTACATATCTCTATCTCCTCAACTACAACCCACTGTTTCTTCATTGAATTTTCCACCATCACAACCTAATAGAAAGGTTGTGGTGTTGGTTCGTAGGAGTGAAGGACCGAAAAAAGAATGGATGGTGAAAACGTCAATATCACCAAAGATGGAAAGAAAATAGAAGTTGAGGAGGATGAGAGATGGGATGGTGACTGATGGAACCCATCTTAAATTTCTTAAATATGGTTTCAGGTTTAGGTGAAGAGATATAGATATGTGAGGTCTGTTAATTTTTTTTTAAATATATAAAAAATAAATACATAAATAAGAAAATTAATTAAAAAACAAATTAAAAAGGGCACAATAGTCTTTTGAGGTAAGACAGAGACCAAATGCACAATAAAAATAAACAATAGGTATCATCCGAGTTAAAATATAAGTTAGGGACCAAACGTACAAATTACCCAAACCACAGAGACCATTCGTGTAATCTACTCTTGCTTTTCGGTATGTTCACATCTGGGTAATTATTTTTTTGTACGCATCTAAGTAATGAACTTTTTGGAAGTGTTCATATATGACCAATATGACAGGGGTGTAACGTGCTACAGCCGGTCATAATTGTCATATGTGAACATTTCCAAAAAGTTCATTACCTAGATGTGTACAAAAAAAAAGATAGTTACCCAGATGTGAACAAACCGAAAAGTTAATTAGCTTATAAGTCTATTTCCCATTTTAGGCGGGTTCCGCACGGAGCGTTTGATAGATTTTAGCTTTTAGCGTTTGACAAAATGTTCTATTTTGAACAGAAAACATTGTTTGGCACTACAAGCTTCTAGTGTTGAAATTTAAACAAACTGCTAAAAGTTACCCAATACTCGCTATAAGCTACCCGCTATCAGCTATTTTTGCCGAACACGTCCTTTGTTGGAGGGATCAATTTGAATGTTAATTAAAAACACTTAAATAGTTTTTGTTTTATTTAGAAAAGTTATATTGAAAAAAAAATCCCATTTTCTATGTATTGTTGAAGACTAGTTCAAAGTTACTAAATGAAATTAAGCACTCTCGTGTCTAGTCTTCATAAGTCATAACAGCTAGAAGTCTTTCCATATTTCATATGTTTACCAAGTTTTTCCATATTTTCGTATTTACTTTTCACTTGTAATTTCTACTATTTATATTTGCATTATGTTTTATGTTTATCATCAATAATACATGAGAGTCTTTAGCATTTAGCATATAGCATTTTTCAAATATTTTCTGTATTTATTTTTCAGTCTACTATGTCTATCTTTCAATATTTAACATATTTCATTTGTTGTTTTGAACCAACATTTTGGTATCACAACTTAAGTTGCATACCTAAGTCTCATTGGTTTGTTCAAATGGCACCGAATCTCAACACGATCAACATGTCTCAACCTTCAATTCCGTCTCAACCTCAAAATCTAATCTTCAAAGGAGACACCTATGAATTTTGGAGTACCGAAATGAAGAATTTGTTTAGGTCACAAGATTTGTTGGATCTTGTTGAAAATGAGTATGCAGAAGCAAGCACAGATGAGGCACGTTAGAAGAAAATCAAAAGCTTTGTTTTCATTCAACAAGTAATTGATGAAACAATCTTTCCCAGAATTGTTGCAACAGTCACATCAAGAGAAGCCTGGAATATTCTCAAAACCGAATACCATGGATCAACAAAGGTGATCATAGTCAAACTCTAGTGCCTAAGAAGGCAGATCGAGACCTTGAACATGAAGGCAAGTGAAATCGTTCAAGAGTACATGACAAAAGCATATTCAATAGTGATTCAAATGCATGCTTATGGAGATAAAATCTATGATGAAGTAGTTGTAGCAAAGGTACTAAGGAGTCTACCTTGTAATTTTGACCATGTTGTGGCGACTATTGAAGAGTCAAAGGATCTTGCAACATTTTCCTTTGACGAACTGATGGGCTCACTACAAGCACATAAAGAAAGAATCAACATAACACAGACACAAGATGGAGACCGTGCATTTCAAATCCAATGAGAACAAGGTAGATATTACCATGATTGAGGAAGAGGTAGAGCATCATTTCGTGGTCATGGAAGATGGAGATCACAAGGTACACTGGTTTAATGTAATCATTGTAAGAAGTATGGTTATATAGAAGAAGATTGTTGGACAAAGAAAAACCAAGCAAACTATACAAAAGAGGAATCGGAAGAGCAGGAGGATTACTTTTTCATGACCCACATTCATCCAGATGATGTCATAAAGGAGATATGGTACATAGATAGTGCATTCTCTAATCCTATAACTAGAGTACATGACAAGTTCAAAAGGTTGAACAAGACAAAAAAATCACGTGTTCGTCTCGACAATGATTAACCCGTAATGGTAGAGAGAATAGGAGTTGTGACGGTATGCATTAAAGGAAAAGATAAGCTCATCAGTGATATTCATTTTGCACCAGGCTTGGCCCATAATCTAATAAATGTAGGCGAATTAATTGAAAATGGGTTCAAGGTAGAGTTTGAAATTGATGCTTGTATGGTAAAGAAACAAAATGGTGAAGTATAGGAGTACTAAAAAATT